CTCCAGCCTGAATATTGTGAACTAACTTTATAGGAACAAGTCTGAATCTTGGAGAAACATCTATTGCAGTTAAGATCAAGGAGGGCTGCTTGTTCCTATTTACTTCATGGGGTCTTGGCTGCCATTTACACAAGTTTAAAATTCTCCCTAATATCAGCAGAGTCCACACTGGTCTCATTTAGGTCTCAGCTGCATTCTTGTGTCCACATGAAAACTAAAAGGTAAAGATGTTTCCTCTTAGCCATGCTGTCCTTGGCAGGCTATGTGATGTCCCCACAAGCCTTGCAATGTAATTGTCTTGACTGCCTTGTCTCCATTTTTAAAATAACTATCCTTGTTGCTTTCCATGTGCTCTCTATTCAATTAAATTCAATCATTATGAGTGTGTCTTTCTCCTGGACTCCATCCCTTAGAGAGCAAGCTGCTGTCTAATGTCAGTGAGGCTCAGCCATCAAAACCAGATGAACGAAAGTTGGCCTTGCTTTCCAGAATTTTACTGTGGAAAAGAGCACACAGTGGGGAATAAAACCACCTTGCTGCAATCTTGCCTCTGCTATTCATGATGTTAGATCAAGGCAAGAAGCTCAAACTTCTTGAGCGTCAGAGTTTTCTGTTTATGTTGATTTTTACCCAGGAGTGTACTTCAGTATCAGCCTTGGAGCTTTTAAAATGTACAACTCCAGACCTGTGGAATCAGAATTTCCTGAGACAAGCCTGAAAATCTGCATTTTTACAAAGCTTTTTCAGATGCAGCCACTCTGAAATATTCCATGGTATGAGTCACTAGCCATTGGGTTATAGTAGAGACTCTGTAGATGTACGGTGAATCTGTCTGTTACTTTTATTGTTGCTGAGACAAAATACCCAACACTTCAAGTTAAAGGAGTAGAAGTTTCTTTTAGCTCAAGGTTTGTAGAGATTTCAGTCCAGCAGTCGGCTGACTCCAAGACAGGAGGGCAGGGCAGAGATGCTTTGCTGAAGAGAAACAGTCCATGGTAAGCAGGAAGGAGACAAAAAAGCAGCAAGCAGCAACAGCCAATACAGCTGTTCCCTTTTAATGACTTTCATCCCTGCCTTTTGGGTGGTGCCACCCACACCCAGAGTGGAGCATCCTTAATTCCAGCATCACACCCTTAATCCCAGCATCACACATCCTAGATCCTGCCACCTCTCAAAAGCCCCACTTATGATCACAAGAGACTTTGAGGGAACATCTAGACAGAAGCCCTAATAATGTCCTATGAGTGAAAGTGCTCTAAATTTTCATTTTATGTTTTTCTTGGTTGTTGGCTTAAATGCCTGTCTCCTTTCCATATATGCCCCTTATATCTGCTGCATTCTTTAAATATTGAGTTTAATTATTTTATTCCATTGAAATGATATTACTGCAAAATTTGATATTCTGAAAGAATACCATCTAATATTTTATCGTTATGCCCCACATGTAAATTATGTCAGTACACAAATCACTCAATTTAATGAAATGGATATAATTATTCATCTATTACAGACAAACCATTAAGATTCAAAGAGGCTAAGCAAGTCAATGAGTGTTGGATTTCAAATTTGTACACTTATTTTCTAATTTTAAGTCCATTGCTATCTTAGTTGCTTTCCTCCGAGTTGGGACAAAATACCCAACACCCACAAGTTAAAGGAGGAAGGGATTATTTCAGTTTACAGTTTGTAGAGGTTTCAATCCATCAACTGGCTTCAAGGCAGGGTGACATGGCAGAAGGGCCTGACAAAGGAGAAACAGTCCACAGCAAAGCAGACAAGAAGGTAGCAATCAGCAGCAGCAGCAGCAGCAGAAGCAAACCTTATCTTCCCTTTTAGCCAATCCAGGTGCCACACCCAGGGGGGCTACTTCATTATCTACATGCAGATCTATGACAAACCAATTTATTTATTACACACCCTTAATCAGAGTGTCACATACCCCAATCCAGTATCACACACCCATGATTAAGTCATCTCCCAAAAGCCCCACCTGTGAGCACATGAAGCTTTGGGGGAACATCTAGATACAAGCCATAACAATTGTTACCTGAATCACATCAGGAGTAAACCCTATCTGAGCTTTAGTTTATAGTTTTAATGTCACACATTACCAACGGAATTGAAGGATTTCTAAAATCTCTTCCATTGGGTGGTAGTTTAGGATTTTAGTTGTACATTTGGAAAATTTGATAGCTGATTAAATTCTTTATTTCTTCCATACATATTATTACTTGAGTAGAGAATCTGACCTGTGTGGGACCTGGCTCCTGTCCCAGAAAGAAGCATACAGGTGGCCCTATGCTCTTTGAAGTTGGGCCAAGCTCTCCTCCCTGTTGCTGCCGGCTTGGTGGGCTTTTTCCTCATTGCATGCGGAGAGGAAGTCAGAAATGGAAAGGAGATGGGTAGCTCCCATCACACCTGTTAAAGGCTAAGCCATTGGCATTGTTTCCCTTTTGCAGGTTAGAATTTGGTAATACTCAAGTCTGTCCTGTTCTGGTACAAGAATTACCATGAGGCAAGACATGTTACAGAGAACAGAGGCCTCTGACTATTTTAAAAAATGGATGTATTTTTTCTCCCTTAGCAGAAGCAGAGATAGTTCATCATCTTCACAGGGTAAACATGGTGGGGCTCATAGACGTAAAACTTAAAAAAGTGGATCTTCTTTGATCTTTAATTTCTCAACCTCGTACTCTTTGAGTCTCTAGCAACTAACTCACTAATTACAGGTTAAAGATTTCTTACCTTGTGCCAGTTCACTCATAGGCTTTGTGATTCTTCACATCCACCTGTTTCTCTCCAGTTTCTAGGTAGCAGTTTGCTCTGAGACAGCAGTCTCTCATGTTCTAAGCAGAGTTGCTGATCTTCAGCTAGGCTTTTCTTTCTATGAGGACAGGAGTGCTGACTTCCAAGATCCTTAAAGTCACGTGGAAACTACCCTCTTCATACATGAGAAGCAAATGAAGGAAGATAAAATAAGTTTCTTTTTGTGTGGATTGGGTCCTTTTAAAAGTAAGGCTGATGCCGTGGTTGTAGTATACATAGTGACTTTGAGAGGTGAACCGTGGTGTAAGAGCACCCAGAAGAAAGTCATGAAGGCTACACTATGGTCCACTTGTTTCCCAGTACTGGACACTGGTCAGTTGGTTACTGACCCTGCTCCTGTAGGGTACATATGTTTATCATAGCCAAGAAACAGAGTAGGAAGTGTTTTTACCCTGGCTTTAATAAAACCTGTGCTGAAAAAGAGGAAATGACTACCACTAATGGCAGTCAAAGCTGTATGTATAGTGGACTAATTGAGCTGGGTAACCCAGGTTTGGTCTTCTATCCTCTTTAGGGCTCAGCTTTCTTTGAACTTTTGGAAGTTCTTTCTATGTGTAAAAGAAAACAAAATAAACCATGTGGTTGTCTTTAAAGGCAGACCCCATCATTCCAGTGGTAGCTCCTAAGAAGTCTGAAGCCAACCAAGTTTTTACAGAATTGGTGGAATAAACCACCCCTTTGCAAACCTACAAATGATTACCTTCATTCTGAGGGGTTGAATATAATCTTTGTTCTCTTGGAAAGGTTTCTTAGCAGACAGCTCCTGGGCCTGAGCAACATCTGGCTCTAAACATCACAATTTGTTTCACTTCCTGTCACCTTTCTCAGGTTTTCTGGCCATCAAGACAGAGGTCGGTGTGTGTCCTAGGGGAAAAGCTAGCCTTGCTTAGGGAGATGCACAAAGTGGGACGGAGATAAAACATGGGAATCTTGTACATTTCTGCTCAGTCTGCATTCCTAAGTGATTAGCATGCTCTCTGAGTATGAGACATGTTATAATTTTACTGCCTATAGTATAATTTTAAAAATAGATATTTGTGATTTTATCTTGTATTCACAAAATACTTAAGAAAGGCATTACAGTAACCTCATAGAAACATATAGCATAGCAACAATGACAAAAATATCAAACACTTCTATATTCTGGTGCCAGTAGCTAATTTTAAACAGCATTCCATCCTCACAGCATCCTGTGAGTAGTGAATATTATTAACCCTACTTTTTGAAGTGAAAACAGTCACGGAGAAATTCACAGTTTTGGTAAGACCACGAAGGTGGTATGCAGTGGGCCTAGTACTCAACATAGACCAGCTACTGGTCTGTGCTTTCAGTCGTAGGAAAGCCAGACAGAAGTGGGGGGCGTGGAGAACTGCTGCAAGATGGCTGGAAAAGAGGGAGGAGCCCCAAAGCAATGAAAACACACATCAATTCCAGAAAGAGAGGACAAAGAAATATCAATCCTCAGTAGCTCAGTGCTGGAATGTATACACTACATGGTGGCTGCCGTCTTGTGTCAGACTCAGCCCTGCTTGACAGTAAACCCAATGGGACTATAGGTTTATAGATAATTGACAAATATGCTATTTAGTCTATTTAAGGCAACTCTGTACTTCTGCTTTTCCTCAGTCCCACTGATTCCCTTTACGGCCTTGTGATTGGCCATAATGTACCATGTAGGCACTGTGGCGAGGTGTAATAGCAGCCTCTTCCACTACATTTCAGGATCTTGTGATTTCCAGGCCATCTGTGCATGCAATTCTCTCTCCCTGAGTTTCATTCAAATGGGCAGAGGGGTCACAAGGGTATTGAGTCTCTTCCAACTAATAAGTTCCACAGTTTGATTATCTTGGAGTTACAACGCCTTGGAGTAAAGAATGAGTTGCTTGAAATGCATTATGGGGTGGGAAAAGGAGCTGTAATTCACCTTTTCCCATCTTTTTCTTCATCTTTTCCTTGTTGATGGTGAAGAAAGCATTAGGATTCCTCCAGTCCTCAGTGAGGTAAATAATACCCTGTAGCCAGATGTAGGAAACATGCTAGACAAAACGTCATATTCAGGGTGCACCCAGGCTCCTCTGCCTGTGGCTGCAGCGTTCCAGCCTGGATCCTGAAACTCCATTCCTGGCTGGGAGGGAAGTGGGTGCAGACTCTGCAGGTATCCGGGTCGCAGAGACCCAGGTTCAGGTTTCTCCTGTGCCACTTACTGTGAAGGTCTGGGCACAGTACTCACCTCTCTGTGTGGGTCACGTGCAAACTACTAGGAAAAAAAGCCCCTTCAGGTGCAAGTTTCTAGGAGTCAGCAGGTGTGTGTGACAGGCGTCACCCACAGCGCCTCCACTTACTCCCCAGTCTCCATGAGGATGTGAGCATCCCTGCGGGTGGGGACTGACGCTCAAGCACAGTTCTTTCATCCCAGTGCCGAAAAGAGTGTCCTGCTTATTTTTAAATGGAGAGAAAAAGGAAATGCAAAGTAACTTCCGGCCTCTCAGAATCCAGACCACACAGCTCTGCACTCAGGCAGCAGCGCCTCAGAGCCATGCGGTGACAAAGCCGTGCTGCCCTCTGTCTTCCGAAGGGAGAATCGCTCTGAGGGCTCGATCTGAAACCGAAAGTAAAAACCAGGAAACAGAAACTCCTCTGAAAAGGCAGCCAGAAACTTCTCCTAGTGGGGAGGGAGTGAGCTGACGTGGACGCATTTCCCAAAACGCTAACTTTGGACCCGAGAGGGAGAGGGAGGATGGTTTTGGACATTAGAACGTGGGAGCAGACCTTTCAAGAACTGATCCAGCAGGAGAAACCCTGGGCCAAGTGGACCCTGAGGCTGAAGGAAGAAATCGAGGCTGATTCTGTGGCCCCCGAGTGGAAGCAACACCAGCAGACAGCAGTTGGCAGGTGAGTGGAGATTTGTTCAGCAGCAGGCTTTCCTGAGCAGAGAGGCCGAGTTTCCTGTTGATTTGTCCCTTTGAGTGCTTGTTAAAAGAGTCACCAGGTCTCCTGCCTTTTGCTGTCACAGTGCTCTTTGGGGTCAAATGGTTCAACTGCAAGTGTCCATCTTGTTTATGTGCGGAGAGCTTATTTTCTTACTTGGTTTCCTTTTCTGAATGTTTCTGGAAATCCTGAGAGCGCATCCTCCTTTTCTCTGTGATGTGGTGCAGCCCTCTGGAAACTCCCTCTGGGTCCCAGTGGGCCTCCCCAGCTGGAGCATCTCTCCTGGTTTTGGCCCAGCCCAGAAAAAGTCAGAGACCTGGTCCTTCTTTTACCATGCCAAAGGCTGATTAGGATGGAGCAGTCACTTTGAATCCTACTTTATCAAAGGCCTCGGGGTGATAGGAAAGAATATGGCTGCTGAAGCTAAGAAAACATATTTCTTGGTGTCCCACAGTCCCTTACTGGCCATTCTTTTTCAAGCCCCAGGGTGAGAATGGCCATGTGGACAACCAGCTCCTCTCCCTGTAAATAGCGCCCTGCATCCCTGATCCCTGATCCCTGATCCTCTTCTCACCTGCTGTGCTGCTGCCTGCCTTCCCAGCCTGCCTCAGCCCTGTGCTTCTCCAGTCCTTAGGGACTATTAACCACACCCTGCACGTTCAGCTTTAGGCCTCCCTGAGCATGGAGACTCCACATCTGTCACCTGCCAGCCTGTTCCTAACATCCCAGGGTTCCAGCACAGGCGGGTCCTGACTTCAGAGGACCCAGCCCAGCCACACAGTGCCCAGTTTCTTTGTGTCTTCAGAGAGAGTTTCTGATGAGATGTGTAGACAGTCTACGTGGGCGATCGGTGGGCTTTAGAGCAAAATGATAAATTTTCCCCATGGGTGAGAGAATACACCTTCCCGCGTGAAGGAGAACAGATGCTGGGATGTTCCAGTGAGTGAGGTCTCAGGTTACATTTCTACAATTAACTGGAGTTTCATATGATTAAAGGTCTTTCATCCTTTCCTTCCTCTGAGGTCAGTGTTCTTTCACAAAGAAAATGTACTTTTTTGACCAACCTGAGACGGAGCTCCTGTTTACTCCCTGGGTGGATATTTTCCACTTGGTTTGTTTTGAGACCTTGAGCAGTTTCCAGCTCTTCACCCATGGTCTGTATCTCATCAGCATGCTCAGAGGATGTTGTATTCTTCTAGGCTAAAGTTCGAAACCATGGGTTAGTGTGTATCTTAGCTATAAGTAATGACTTCTCAAACCAAGGAAACACATCACATCTTCTCTGCTTATCATGTAGCCCTAACTGCCTGGTACCAGGCCTGTGGGTGCTGCCTTGCTGCCTAACACTAAGAGTTTTTGCCTGTTTGGCAGCCCCCTGCCTCATACCCTCCCTGCTCATCCTTCAAGGAACACGGCAGGGTCACTTCCTCCCTAAAATGTCCCATGTCCTTCTAAGCAGAGCGAGGGTCCCTTCTTCTACATTGCAAGAGAGAATTGTTATGTGTACCGTATAAATACATGATGTATATTTTTAAATAATCCATTTATAAATATTATATAAACTATATATTTTGAGCTAAGTAATTCATTATTTTCAATTAATCTTCTTCTGACACACAGTTTTTGGGCCATTTGGCCGAGCTGAGCATATGCACCAGTGACTTTGTTCTGCTTTTATGTAGTGCAGTGATCTGTGCAAGAATCTGTTTGCACCCTGACCAGAGCTCTTTGTGAGACTTTCAATGTCTCTTATCATTTTGGCACTCTCCCAGTCAGGAAGGTGTTTCTTCTGTTCAGGTAAATTGATTTGATAGTCAGTCATACTGAGATGGGAAGAACAACCTACCAACACACTTCTGGAAGACATCAGCCAGCTTTTGAAATTGTCTTGCAGTGTAGTAAGAGCTTGTACGTTCATGGCGTGTTCAAAGAATAAATGAGTGTCAAAATTTTAAAAATTGAATTCCGTAAAAGACCTAACACTATTAATGCCCATCAAAACGCTCCCAAGAGTCCTCCCCACTTTGGACACTTATTCCATCATTTACGGAAGTGTCATTAAAATCTGTAAATTCACAGTATTCTCCTTTATCCGTCACCATCGTCAAACATGTCTCATTTAAATCTGACCAAAGAACCCACGAGTTTTTTTCAGTGAACTTAAAAATTAAGGTTTAGGGAAGGGACATTGTTTGTGTGAAGTTTTGTAATGCAAACCATGCACCTCAACCTTCAAGAGAATACTGTGGCTCCAGGATTTGGTCTCTTTCCCAGGGCATGAGATGAGTTGTATTGCTCCTTAGAGATGATATAGTAGAGTAAGCAGATAAACAAGGTTCCTGTCAAATGGCTCAGGGTTGGGCAACCAGGCTTCTACCACATACCCTGTATATCCAGAACAGATTCTGTATATTTTTTATGACTCTCTTTCCTTATTTGGATGTTGAGCTCAGTGTTGCCTGTTTCGTACGAATGATTTCAAGGTAATAAGGAATAACACTGTCAGGCATCAATTATAATGACTGCCTCCAAGTAGTGATTTCATAGAGAAATTTCTGTTACCAAAATGAGAAACAAATTTACCACGGATGGTAGAAATTCTTTTTCCCTCTGTGGCACCCAGAAATGGTTTTACTACCAAGAGGCAGACTTGACATGTACGGATGGAAAAAGCCATGTCTGTAGCACAACTCCTCCATTCCATGTTCCAGTGAGCATGACAGTCTAGATCACAGGAAGTGTTGTCCCACATTCAAATGCATCCTAGAGATGAGCTCAGCTGGTTGAGTTCATAACAGTGGGTGCTTCCCTTCTACCTGCAGGTTCTGGTGTACCTCGTGTCATCAAAGTTGGGATTCTGCCCAGGTGAAGATCCTGTGCCACGTGTACTGGGAGCACTGGACGTGCCAGGGCCAGGTGCTTATGCGGATTTTTGCTCAGAGGTGCCCGAAGTGTTTTTATTCCCAACTTGAGAATCCTGAGTTCTCTACCGATAGCATCATGAAGATTCTAGAAAACCTGGCACAGTATATTCTGCACAGATACTATGGACATGGCTTCAGGAAGAGGCCAGTGATCTGGGCGGTGCCTCTGCAAGGGCCCCATGACTCACGCGAATGTCAGTCCTGCCTTGGAGGCGTGTGTGTGCAGGGCTCACAAAGACGTATAATAGAAAAGCCATCCACTTCCTCTCCCCAATCCCTGGAGATTCAGGGTTCTTCACATCCAGATAGTGGTGTTTTAGGCAACAATGAGCCCAGGTTTTCCTGGAACATCCTTATATCAGTCTGTTTTATACTTGCATGTTTGACTGCCATTTTGAATGAGTTTAAAAAATAAGCTTGCCTTCTTCTCTTGTGTTAAGTACATGCTAATCAATAAACTGGCTGCTAGTTTCATGTGACAGACTGTTCTTTGACATCAAGCAAGTTTGCAGAGTGAGCACTGTTTTCCAGGACATCCCCGAAAGATAGTGTAAAACATGCTAAGTCCATATGGACCAAATAATAAATATGCATTGAATCACTAACAGTCTTCATTCACTCCCTCATTCACTGGTGTCGATATATATGGATCAAATTTTGACAGGAAAATGTCATGAGTATTATCAGAAAGTTATTTGGTAGTGTAAATAATGCTACCTCCTGTCCACTGCCCAAAGGCTCCTGTCCTTATCACCCAGACCTGTGAATGTGTAACTACTGGGCAAAATGCATTCGGTAGGTGAGATGAGTTGAAGGAATCTTGAGATAAATGGATTATTTTGCACAACACAGGTGGGCAGTAAGAAATGTCTCCCAAAGGTTCATGTGTTGAAGACCTCATTTCCAGATGACAGGACTAGTGTGAGGTGGTGCAAGTTTTAGAAGGTTGTCAGTGAAACTAAGTCACTGGGGTGGTGTTCACTCTGCCACCCTTTGTAGGGTAGATTGTTCCTGCTTGGTACCTCTGCACAGGTTTAAAATTCTCTGATGTTGGAGGGCTGGAGAGTGTCTCATTGGAGGCTCAGCTGCATTCTTATATCTGCATGGAGGCTCCAAAGGTGCAGAGGTTACTACTCATCAGTGCTGGCCTTTGTAGGCAATGTGATGTCTCTGCAGCTTTGCCTTGACTGGTCTGTCTCCATTTTTTTATAGCTCTCTTCCTTCACTCTCAGGGTGCCCTCCTGTCACTTAAATTCATGCATCATGACTGTGGCTTTCGCCTGGACTCCATCCGTCAGCAAGCTGCTGTCTGATGTCAAAGAGGCTCAGCCATCATAACCAGGTGAATGACGTCTGACCTTGTGTTCTAGAATTTTGCCATGGAAAAGAGCACAGAGGTGGGAGTGAAAGCCTCCTGCTGCAATCCCATCTCTGCCCCTCATAATGTTGGGTGGAGACAAGAAGCTCAAAATTCCTGAGCTTCAGAGTTTTCTGTTTATGGTGATTTTTACCCAGGAGTGTATTTCAGTATCATTTTGGGGGCTTTTTAAAATGTGCAACTCCATGCCAGACCTGGGGAATCAGGATTTCCTGAGGCCGGCCTGCACATCTGCATTTTCCAAAGCTTCCTTAGATGCATCTGATACAGGAAATAATACCAGAGATGAAATGTGATGCACTGTATCTCTCAACCCCTTGGCTATGTGATACACCGAGTTCTTGTTAGCTAAAAATCGAAGAATGAATTCTAGGAGCAAGGGAGGTTAAGAGTAGGAAGATAATTTATTGATAGGAAAGCTCCTGAGGGGCTGGAGAAGACCCGAATTTATAAGGGCGTTCTACGGAGTAAAACCCATGTAGGTAAAACATGGGCTCCAGCCACGATCATCCTATAAGTTTACAATGCCATCACTTAGGTAATAGTGGTCCAGTTGGGAAGCAAGTCACATAACAAGTGTGGAGGGAAAGGACAAAGATTCTCTTAGGAAGTGGTGGGTCCAGAGCTCTCTGGTCACCCACTGGGGTGACTGATGTTCATCTGGACTTCATTAGGCCCACCGTTCTTTGAGGAAGGATGAAGGTCTGGTCATCTTGTCTTTATCTTGGAGCCCAGTTTCCAAATGATAAATCTCTGCCCGCAGCTGTGGGGGGTTTCACCTTTGTTCTGACTCTCTAGGATCTGACTGCATGTAATATTTCTACCTAACCCATCTGTCTATAATACATCCACTCTGACATTCCAAGGTAACAGTCACTAGCCAGTGGGCTATGATAGGAGCTCTGTAGGGGTGAGGTATATCCTGAGAGTCAAAGTGCTTCAAGTGTTCAGTTTATCTTTTTTCTTCCCAACACATAGCCAAATGCATTTTCTTGATTCTTCATTTAAATATCTGGCTCCTTTCCCTATATGTTGACTTATGTCTTCTGTGTTCTTCCGATGTTGAGTTCAGATGTTTTATTTTATTGAAAGGCTATCATTTCAAATCTTTTAATGTTGTTTCTTTTTATTTATTTATTTAATTACTTATTTATATCGAACTCGGGCCTTGCGCTTGCGAGGCAGGCCACCAAACTGCTGAGCTAAATCCCCGGCCCTAATACTGTTTCTTTTTAAAAATAAAACTACCTTATATTTTGTTGCTACATTCCACATCTAAGTTATATTAGTACACAAGTCATTCAGTAAAGTGGATGTGGTTATTTCTCTGCTACTAGAGAAAGCATTAAGATTCATTGTTAAGCAATTCAATGAGTATTAGAGTTAGAATTTCCACTCTTGTTTTCTAATTTTAAGTCCCAATTGCTCTCCCCCATGAGTCACTCCAGGAATGAACAGTATCTGAGCTTTGATTTATGATTCTAATGTCACCCATTACCAAACTAGTTAGAAAAGAATGGAACTTAAGAACTTTTAGAATCTTTTCCATGGCTTGGTAGCTTCATGATTCTAGTTGCACATTTGGAAAATTTGATAGTTGGTTGACTCTTATTTCTACCTTAGGTATTATGACTGGAGTAGAGAAGTAATCTGACTTGTTTGGGATCTGGCTCCTGTCCCAGAAGGAAGCACACAGGTGGCCATGCCTCCCTGAGCTTGGACCAAGCTCTCCTCCCTGTCACTGACAGCTTGGTGAGCTGTGCCTTCATTACATGCAGAGAGGAAGTCAGAAATGAAAAGGTGATGGGTAGTTCCCATTTCCCTCAGTGGTAGACAGAGAATATTTTCCTTTCGCATGTTAAACTTTGGTGAAACTCAGGTCTTGGGCTGCCACTGTGTTGGCCAGAGGTGTGTATGAGATGGACCTGCAGGGTTAAGGAGATTTTAGAGCCAGAGACTTAAAGCTCCTTGAGTGCATGCTTAGAGCTCAAAAGATAGCCTACTGGGTCACAAGTCACAGTAGGGCCACAATGAGTTGCCTGAGGCTTAAATGTTGTGGCCTTTGTCCCCCATACTCTGTTATTATTTAAATTAGTCCCAGAGTCAGTCATTTAGCTGACTATCCTCCCCATCCCCTGTTCTTTCCCTGTGCTCTGCATGAGTTCCTGCCTTTCTTTTTCTTTGATTCTTGCTTCCTGGTTCTATCAAGAAAAGGCCACAGAGGCTTCAGTTTGGGGCTGTTGTTCCATACTCTCTGGTGCTGAGGGGTCTCGTGTTAGTGGTAGCCCCTGTGGGTCCTTTGGAGTATGATGGACAGTGATTGAGTAATCTTTGAGTAGTCTCTCATCCTTTTGGGCTGTGCCATGGAAGTAGACTGCAACATTGAGCATTGGATGTTTCCATTTTCCATGTTAGACTTTGGTGAAACTCAAGTCTGTCCTCTTCTAGAGAAAGACAGTGCCTTCAGGGAAAGCCATATTAAGGAGAACAGAGGTCTCTGAATATTTTGTAATGGTTATGATTCTTCTTTCTTGCTAGAAGTGACACAGGAAATGATATAGGCCCTCCAAATATGATCTAAAGGAAATACTGTAACTCTCAACATGCTAGACGTCCAATAAATCGAGTTTGTGTTCTCTAAAATTGAATGAATTCTAGGAACAATGAAGGTTAATAGTAGGAATATTTATTGAAGGGGAGATGTACAGCTCCTGAGAGGCAGGACAGGGCCTGAAAGTGGCTTGTAGAGGACTCCACTTCTTAGGGGAAGTTTTATAGAGCACAATCACATGAGTACAATGTGGGTTACATCTATGATTGATTATAAGTATAATCACTCATGTAATATTGATCCAACGGGGAGGCAAGTCACATAGCAAGTACACATGGAAAGAGCAAAGAATTTTTCCTAAACTTCATTATTCTCTTTTTAAAGAACAGGAGCTTGAGGGCCGGGGATTTGGCTCAGTGGTTCTGCCGTCTGCCTCACAAGCGCAGGTTGGGAGATACAATATTTCATATTTCATCTCCGGTATCATTTACTGTATCATTACCACTTAGGGTGGGTTATTCTGTCTTCATCTTGAGGCCTAGCCTCCAACAGATGTGCCTCTGGCCACAGTTGTAATGCATTTTCACCTTTGTCCTGATTCTCTTGAGGGCCTATCCCTATCTGACAGCCCATAATAATTTTTACCTAACTTAGCTGCCTGCAACAGAAGAACAAGATTGTTCTCCACCTGCAGAGTGAGAATCTGGGGAGGATCTCGGATGTAGGACTGAAAGAAATGGACCTTCTTCAAAGTTTAAATTCTTAACAGTATCGTCATTGAGCCTTCAGCAATTCACCAATTATAGTTTAAAGAGCTGTTACCCCGTCAGTGGCAGTTCTTATGTGCCCCCTCTGTTCCTAGGGTTCTTCTCATCTACTTACCTCTCTCCGGTTTCCAGGCAGCAGTTTGTCCATGACCTCAAATTTCTGATGGTTCTAAGGAAAGTTGCTGATCTTCAATTTGTTCAGGTTTTCTCTTGGTGGGAAAATGGGAGTGAAGACTTCCAAGCTCCTTACAAGTCACACTGGAAATAGCCCTTTTTGTCACTTGTCTGAATCTTAACCCATGTTTCTCGAAGAATAAGTCTGCAGATTGGCTGACTCCTATTGTGGCAATAAAATTTTCAGGATGCATCAGTAAGAGGCATGGGAAAAAAAGATACATACTCAAAGAAATTGTGTAGGAGCCGTGGAAGAGAGAGAGAGGCTCATTATGAGTTGGAGCTAGGTACATTTATGGGGTTTGGGGGCGTCTTCAAGACGGATGATCTAGGATGTGTATTCCTACTGTCTGTAGGGTTACCTATCTGGTGGGCTGTCAGAATGCAAGCAGTTTCCATGTGTTTGAAGTTGAGATCTGCTGCCTGCTAATACTGCTGCTTCCTTAAGGATGCAGAAAGTGCAATTTACAGGTGAAAAGGACTGTTCCAGAGCCCAATTTGTAGACTTTCTGTGTCTGTAAGTCTTTTAGGATTTTTTTTGAGTGAGTTTCCTAGAAAGGAAAAAGGCTTGAGTAACTTTTGTGGCTGAAGCTACAGTTTTTCTTAAACGTACCATTTAAAAATCCTGTTGCCCTTTTATCCTTTCTGCCTATTGTTTTTTACTTTTCACTATCCTGCTGTTATTATAGACAGCTAAATTAGAAATTAACAGACATTCAGAGACAGATCAGGCCCTTAAGGGAATGAATGTAGAAGACAAGACACATTAAGATTGTGGCTGGAGGCAAATCTGGAGAGAGCCAGGCCTCAAAATAAAGACAGAATAGCCAAGACTTCAAACTTTCCTGTAGATTAATGGCAGTTTGAAACTATACTGTAACTAGCATCGCCTGGTCCAGGAAGCCCAGATAGGTATCAGATGCACAGGTGAGTGACCAGAACATCTGAACCCCTTTCCAGGAATGCCTTTGTTCTTTGGATTATTCGAAGCTATAGTTAAGCTGAAGTTAATGAGTGATGCTTGCCTCGCTGCCATATTGGATCATATGAGGCAAGTGACTATACCTGTAACCTTATAGACTGATTATAGTTTGACCTTTGTTGTAGCCACCTTGTGATTTTGCTGTACAACGTACCCCTGACAAACAGCCTCAGGGATCATCCAGTTAGGATCCCTCTGTCTTCTTATTTCCTATAACACATACCTGACCTACTCCTTTGGTTTGTGACTTCATTCTTCAATGTGTGAGACCACCAAGTTGGCATATCTGACATCTAGCAAGTTGGAAGTCATTTTTCCTAGTCACACTACCTCATTTCATTCATTCATGAAATTTAAATGAATAAAATAAGTATTCTTAGCAGAGCTGATCCAAGTAGTTACACTCTAGGTAGTTAATTTGGGAGTTTAACCATAGGAATAGGAACAAAGGATTGATAAAATAAGTCAGGGACAGAAGAAAACACATGAAAGGCTCCTTTTATCTGCATACTTCCTGATCTTGGTTGGTGGTGGCTACTAACCCTGTCCCTGTAGGGTGCATAGAGGCTGCCCATTTGCAAGAAAAAGGATGAACACCCTTAATAGCCAAATTCTGGTTAAAGTTATCTGCCTGTAACCAGTGCTACAAAATGAAATGTTAACTGTTGGATGATTTTCTTTTAGAGACGAGCAACTTCTCCTAGCTTCCCCCTGCTAAAACATGAACCAACACCTCATCCTGTCTTCAGCCCCAAATCAGGGACAGAATATGCAGATGCTGGGACAGTGAGAAATCCCATTCCTCCCAACAAGCTGGCGGTGAAGGTGTGATGTGGCCAGTGGGTGCTGTGCCGTTCCCCTGGCTCCTCAGTGCTTCTCCTTACTTCCTCTCAATGGCATGAGAAGACTTGCTTTAGTGCCCTCCACGGCTGTGCAGCTTTCATGCTCCTCCACTCCACTCCAACATGAATACAGCCCGTTTGTCAACACAGTGCCCATCTCCAGCTTCCACCTCTTCAGATGCTATCGTTGCCTTTCAGGAAGGAGGTGGGCAACCTAGTGAGGCTATGATCAGGGACAGAGGGTTCTGGTCTCATTGTTAACACTCACCACTAGCTTTCCAGAAGGTTCTTTGGTTTCCCCCTTGGCAGAGTACTGTGGTCACACTAAACTCTTAAATTTTCTAGATCCTTTGTCTATTGGTTCGTTCTCTCACAGCCCACATCACAGGCCCTCCATAAGCTTTCTTACACAACATATGATGGCTCATAAGGGGATCAAACCCGCAACTTTGGTGCTCAATTTGGTGAACAATTCTGGCCATTCCCTTTATTAACCAAGCTTTTCCAGGTATCAAAAACTTCAAGTGTTAGAACAATGCTTTCAGGCTCTCATCTCAGCATTATTGGTTACAGTCTTTTAAGGTCTTTAACAATGTGGAGGAGGCTTTCCAGGCGCAAAGGACTACACTAGAAGATGCCAGGGACAAATGACAAGCATCTTATACAGCAACAGCCACAATCTAGCCCTTGCCTCTTCTGTGTAATCTAGGTCTCCTAGATTACAAGTATTCAGGCCCTCATTCTTTGACCTCTTAGCATTGTGGACAATCAGGGCATCTAAGATGAGATGGTACCAATCTGTCTGCTTCTGGGTCCATGGCTATATACTTTCTTCTGTACTTTGCCCTTACTTCAAACAGAGGGCTCACTGGAAGCAGGACTGTTCTTCTCTTCCGCAAGAAGGGGCCTCCTTCCTCCTCAGCTGTCCCATTGCCAGCCTCAGCAAGACAGAGGACAAATGCCCCTAGCTTTGCTCCTGGATTTTTAGGAGCTCTAGGAAGAGGGAGACACAGCCCTTAAGATGGGCAACTCCTCCCGCTTGGATGAGCAGTGTCCTGGGATTCCCCATGCTCTGTATCTCTGTGGAGGCCCTTCAGGTAACCTTAAATGTGGGTGGGACTGGGATAACATTCTGAATGGACACATGATCAGCATGGGTCTCCAATCCTTGAGGCTATTGATGACAAACCTCAAACTACTTGTTTTATGCCCTTATTTCCATGTCTTTGAAGAGGGTTGATTCACTCATTCTTTCCTTGTTCACAGTTCTGCCTAGCTATACTTGTCCATTACTGGGTAGAGATATCAGGTCCAAGCTTCAGGCTCATTGACATCTGTCTGAGATCCTGAGACCCACTGCATCACTTCTTAATGGCCAGACCTTCCCATCCCCTTGCTCCCAAGAAAGTCCTCATAGAACCCCAAACAAATGCCCCCTGAGATCTGAGATATCACCATCTCAGAGTGAGGTTCTCACTGCTACCCTTGCTACAATCCAGACAGTTTTGCCAGGAGACTCCAATACCCTTTAAAACCTTTAAATTTCTGGCTACTTGATTGTTGTGACTGTGCAGTTAACCATATAATACTCCAATGTTGGCAGTTAGAAAGACGGATGGGTCATGGCAGATGGTTTGGACCTATGAATGCAGTCCAAATGAGTGTGCAACTCCCATTTACCTACGGTCCCTAACCTCTACACTCTCCTGAATCAAATACCTCTTGCTACTTTTTTGTGTACTGTTCTTGCTATGAAGGATGTCATCTTTTATATTGGTGCACTCCTAGACCAGCACTTTCTTTTCACTTTTGAATGGTAGAATCCCATTACTCAGAAGACCCAGCAATTCACTTGGACGGTCTGGCTTCAAGGCTTTAGAGACAGCCCTCACCTGTTATGCCAGGCCCTAGATAGACTTACTTCCTCCAGCTCCCCTCTGGGAGAACCTCCTCTAGTATGTAGATGGTTTATTAATTTGCAGTTCCCATAAGCCTCCCTCTGATCACAATACTGTTCTAACCCTCCGACAGCTGTCTTCATGTGGATGTAAAGCTCAAACTTTCTTATAAAAATTCCAGCTCCTGGGACTTGTATTAACCGCAGATACCAGGAGCCTTTCTAGTTACTGTAGCGATTTTATTTTAAATATGGGAAGCCCAGCCTCAAAACGACAGCTCAGAACTTCACTGGGAATGGCAGGATTCTGTCCAATTCAGATTTTTTAGTTTGGTCTTGTAGCTAAACACATGTATGAAACACTTAAATGGATCACCGGCACTAAACCTTCTAAAACAGGCACTTATTTCAATTCCTGCATGACTGTTCCAGAACTTATTAAACCATTCTCATTGTATGTACATGAAAGAAGAGAAATCGCCTGGGAGTCCTATTCCCAGCCTGGGGGCTTCCCAGCACAGTGTGGCCTATCTTCCCAGATAACCAGACTTAGTGGCAAAGGCTGGCACCCTTGTCTCAGAGTACTAGCTCTCTTAGAGGAGGAAGCTTCCCAGTCAACCTTAGGATAGAACATGTCAATAAATAATTCTTATCAGAAGTGGGGGCTGGTGATGCACACCTGTATTCCTAGCACTCAGGGGACTGACAAGGGAGGATTATCATAGTTCAAGAGCAGCCTGAACTATATATTAAGACCTCGTTTTAACTCCCCCCTCACCACCACCAAAAATAAAAACCAAAAAAAAGACAAAAAAACACTCATCAGTTCCTTGGTGCCCTTAATTCAACTGAATTTCTGATAGCAGATTAATACTAGACTGTCCTCTTACAAATCCCAGAACTCATTTACAGCCTGTCACACACTCAACCTGGGCATCCTGTTACCAGACCCCTATCCCTGAGCCCTCTGATAAGTCTCCTGTATGGAAAAAATTGGCCTTGCAGCAGGAGGCCAGGCCTACAATACACTCCTCTCCCTAATCTTAATGCTAGGCAGTTCTCACATGGAAGATGCTTTATGATGGAGAGGTGCAAGTTTTTGGGAGATGCTATGGTGAGTTTAATAGAAATTACAGAGTTGGGATCCCTCCCAGGCAGCTCCACAGCAGCACAGAAATACAAGTTAATCATCCTTCCCAGGGCTCTGCGGTTGGATGCAGGTAGGAAATGTAACCTTTGCACAGAGCCAGCTGGTGCCTTTCATGTTCCCCATGCTCACAATGAGCTGGTGCCTTTCATGTTCCTCACACTTACATTTGGAAAGAGAGGGGATTACTAAAAGCTCACCATAAGACTGTTACACATGCTCAGGAAATTTTAGCCCTCCTGGGTGCTACATGGCTTCCTACTCACATAGCTGTCACACATTGTAAACCCCATCAAAAGGATTACTCAGACATCCTTTAGGGTAACAGTTGGGCAGCTCAACAAGCTAAGCATGCTGCTAGGAATGCCTTGAAACAGGCAGCTCATGACCCTGCCTCACTGTTCTCCCGATCCACAATATACTTCTCAAGAAGTTCGAAAACCGTTGAATCAGGGCTTCACCACAGTACCTCACAGGGTTGGTTATATAGAACCCCACAAATAGGTTATTACTACCTGAATCTTCTCTGTAAAGTCCTCAAGTTTCTAGCACACCACACATTTGGAGGGAGAAGTCAAACTGTAATAGAACCTGTCTTTATAGGAACTGCAATCTCACAGGCCCTTAAAGACATTTCAGAGGCCTGCCCTACTTGTGCTTAGATTAGTCCAAAAGGAGCTCTCAGACACCCTTGCTCCCTTTTACATCCTGTACAACAAAAACAAACTATGCCAGGGAAGATTGGCAAATAGATTTTACCCTGCCCCCCATTCCTCCAGGCAGAGGTCTTAAATATTTACTTGTTTTTATAGATACTTCACAAGGTGGATTGAAACCTTTCTCACAAAACCTGAAATGGCCTCTGAAGGGACTACTGCTGTATTAAAGCACATAATCCCCAAGTTTTGACTTCCTATTCTCTACATTCAGATAGTGGACCTGTCTTCATTTCAAGTATAACTCAAAGGGTGAGTGAGACATTAAATGCAGTCTCCATGCAGCCTGGTGCTCCCAATCTTCGGGAAAGGTAGAAGGGCTCATGTAACACTCAAAACAATTCTTACTAAGATCTCCCTAGAAACCCAATGGTCCAAGGCCACTCTCTTATCAATAGCCCTCTTTTTAAAATTAATTTTGTTGGTATATTTCAGATACACAAAATGATAACATTCATCATATGGAATTTGTATCTGTACATGATATATCTTGATTCTTTGTTTTTCCCATTCCCTTCCCTTCCCTTCAACTCCTCTTCCCCTCCTTATTTACAAAAGCTCTGTTTCCATTTTTCTTCTATTCCTTTTTCCTTTTCTCTTCCATCCTATTGTCATAATTATGCTTGTTTTGGGCCATGTCTACGCAATTATTTTCTCCAGTTTGTTTCTTCCAGAATCCAATGGCTTTCAATGAAATATGTCAGGCAACCACGTGGATTTTTTATATAACCCTGTTTGGAGTTTGTTAGCCAATTTCAATCTCAGTCGTCAGCCTAGGGAAGTAGACCATCTACCTCTGATAATCAGCAAAGTCAAGGGACCCTCATTCCTTCTCAGCTGAAGCCTATTATAGATACGATCACTTCCTCCATGGTCGGTGACTTGACTTTGCTGGCTGTCAGGGGGAAAATGGCTGTCAATTGACAATGAAAAGGATTAAAACTCTTAACAGTCAAACTCTGGTTAAAGCTATCTCATCACAAAGAAACTCCAGTTTGAGACATCCAGCTCCCAGAAGGTGTCCTAAAACTGTAACTAACCTTTTAATGTAAAGTCCATTTATTTATCCCAAAGAGTTCCAACCTATTTTCCCTAAAAGGTATGTAAAGATGTCCTTACCAGTAATGCTTTAGCTTTAGATAAAACTTCTCAAAATTAAAACTGCACACGTATAATTGAAACTCAATGCAGATGCTCAGGGAAGGTCTGGGAAGTGCTAAATGATCCAGGAAAAGACATTTTTTCCACAGTTGGATATTTTTAAACTCTTATAAACTCTTAAACTCTTATAAAGGTCTCTCACACTGATGGCATAATTTCTTTCCTAGAAACTTGCCCATGGTTTCCCTTAGCAGCATACTCTAGCCAAAATAAACTTGTGCTTTCTATATTATTTGTCTTTTGGTAAATTGTTTCATAGCCCACCGTACTAGCCCTCCATACAACTTCCCACACAACTGGTATAGATCACAGCAATAGAACAGAGCAAAAATAGATCTAACACTGGCTTTAAGAAACCTGTACTGAAAAACAGGAAGTGACTGCCATGAATGACAGTCAAAACTCTATTTATAGTGTCCTCATCAAGCTGGGAAACCTCTCCTTGCTGAGGTTCAGCTTTCTTAAAGCTTGGGGAAGATGTTTCTATAATCAATCAATCAGCCAGCTGACCATGTGGTTGTCTATCAAGGCAGACCCCATCAGCCCAGTGGTAGATCCCAAGAAGCCTGAAACCCAGCAAGTTTTTATAGAAATGGTGAAACAAGTTTTGTCTTTGAAAACTTGTACATTTTTGACTTAGATCTTTCTCAGAAGTCTAATAGGATCTTTGCTGTCTTCAGTGGGTTTCTTAAAAGACTTAGCCCCTGGGCTTGAGAAGCAGTTGGCTCACAGCGTCACAATTTGTTTCACTTCTTGTTCACCTTTCACAGGGTGTCTGACCATCGAGACACGGGTCGGACGTGTATGCTCAGTTGGCTTAGCTCAGGGAGGGGGCTGAGTAGAATGGGAGTTAGGTCATGCGATACGAGAAAAACGTTTGTTGCTCAGTCTGCATTCCTAAGTGACTATTGTGCTCTCTGAGTCCTAGACATGTTCTTCTTTATAGTTTTACCGCCTATATTCTAATTATAGAAACAGATATTTGTGATTTTTGTCTTGTTGTATTCACAGATACTTAAAAAATGTGTTATGGCAATTTCAAAGAAATGTGCATCATAGCACAACAACGACTAATGCTTCTAGATTGTAGTGTCTCTGCCTACTTTTAAAGCATTCAATGCTGACAAAAACCTTGGGAGATAGAAAATATTATTATCCCCACTGTTAGAGGGTAAAATGAAGTGCAGAGAAGTTCACAGTCTTGGTAAGGGTAAGTGGGAGAACTAGGCCTCAACATGGACAGATTGACGATTGATCAGTGCTTTTAATTCATTGACCCCTGACAAATGTGACAAGGAGGAAAATGAACTGCTGAGAGACAGCTAGAAGAGAGGAAGGATCCACAAAAGCCAAAAAAACAAAACAAAAAAAACCCAACTCCTCCAAAACCCCAAACATCAATTCTGAAAAAGGGGTCATAGAAAACTTCTCAGTAGTTCAGCCTCTTCCATTACCCTTCAGGTTCGTGTGATTACATTCGCCTTCATGGAGCCTCAGTGAATGGACCAAGGGGTCATAATGTTACTGCGTCTTTCCCACTACTAAGTTCCACAATTCTATTGTCCTGGAATTGCAATGTCTGGGTGCAAAAATTGAGCAGCTTTGAATGTGTTATGGGTTGCAAAAGGAGCTGTAATTTAGTCGTCCCCCCTTCTGTTTCTTGATGGTGTGAAAGACAATGGGCTTCTTCCAGCCCTCAATGACTTCAATAATTTCTTCTACAGCCTGGTCTTTTAAGTCTGATAGTCAGACACAGGAAATGTGCTAGACCAAATCATTGGCTCCTCTGCCTGTGGCTGCAGCGTTCCAGCCTGGATCCTGAAACTCCATTCCTGGCTGGGAGGGAAGTGGGTGCAGACTCTGCAGGTATCGGGGTCGCAGAGACCCAGGTTCAGGTTTCTCCTGTGCCACTTACTGTGAAGGTCTGGGCACAGTACTCACCTCTCTGTGTGGGTCACGTGCAAACTACTAGGAAAAAAAGCCCCTTCAGGTGCAAGTTTCTAGGAGTCAGCAGGTGTGTGTGACAGGCGTCACCCACAGCGCCTCCACTTACTCCCCAGTCTCCATGAGGATGTGAGCATCCCTGCGGGTGGGGACTGACGCTCAAGCACAGTTCTTTCATCCCAGTGCCGAAAAGAGTGTCCTGCTTATTTTTAAATGGAGAGAAAAAGGAAATGCAAAGTAACTTCCGGCCTCTCAGAATCCAGACCACACAGCTCTGCACTCAGGCAGCAGCGCCTCAGAGCCATGCGGTGACAAAGCCGTGCTGCCCTCTGTCTTCCGAAGGGAGAATCGCTCTGAGGGCTCGATCTGAAACCGAAAGTAAAAACCAGGAAACAGAAACTCCTCTGAAAAGGCAGCCAGAAACTTCTCCTAGTGGGGAGGGAGTGAGCTGACGTGGACGCATTTCCCAAAACGCTAACTTTGGACCCGAGAGGGAGAGGGAGGATGGTTTTGGACATTAGAACGTGGGAGCAGACCTTTCAAGAACTGATCCAGCAGGAGAAACCCTGGGCCAAGTGGACCCTGAGGCTGAAGGAAGAAATCGAGGCTGATTCTGTGGCCCCCGAGTGGAAGCAACACCAGCAGACAGCAGTTGGCAGGTGAGTGGAGATTTGTTCAGCAGCAGGCTTTCCTGAGCAGAGAGGCCGAGTTTCCTGTTGATTTGTCCCTTTGAGTGCTTGTTAAAAGAGTCACCAGGTCTCCTGCCTTTTGCTGTCACAGTGCTCTTTGGGGTCAAATGGTTCAACTGCAAGTGTCCATCTTGTTTATGTGCGGAGAGCTTATTTTCTTACTTGGTTTCCTTTTCTGAATGTTTCTGGAAATCCTGAGAGCGCATCCTCCTTTTCTCTGTGATGTGGTGCAGATGACCTTAAAGCCCTCTGGAAACTCCCTCCTGGGTCCCAGTGGGCCTCCCCAGCTGGAGCATCTCTCCTGGTTTTGGCCCAGCCCAGAAAAAGTCAGAGACCTGGTCCTTCCTTTACCATGCCAAAGGCTGATTAGGATGGAGCAGTCACTTTGAATCCTACTTTATCAAAGGCCTCGGGGTGATAGGAAAGAATATGGCTGCTGAAGCTAAGAAAACATATTTCTTGGTGTCCCACAGTCCCTTACTGGCCATTCTTTTTCAAGCCCCAGGGTGAGAATGGCCATGTGGACAACCAGCTCCTCTCCCTGTAAATAGCGCCCTGCATCCCTGATCCCTGATCCTCTTCTCACCTGCTGTGCTGCTGCCTGCCTTCCCAGCCTGCCTCAGCCCTGTGCTGCTCCAATCCTTAGGGACTATTAACCACACCCTGCACGTTCAGCTTTAGGCTTCCCTGAGCATGGAGACTCCACATCTGTCACCTGCCAGCCTGTTCCTAACATCCCAGGGTTCCAGCACAGGCGGGTCCTGACTTCAGAGGACCCAGCCCAGCCACACAGTGCCCAGTTTCTTTGTGTCTTCAGAGAGAGTTTCTGATGAGATGTGTAGACAGTCTACGTGGGCGATCGGTGGGCTTTAGAGCAAAATGATAAATTTTCCCCATGGGTGAGAGAATACACCTTCCCGCGTGAAGGAGAACAGATGCTGGGATGTTCCACTGAGTGAGGGTCTCAGGTTACATTTCTACAATTAACTAGGTCTCTCAAGGAATCTTTTCCTTCTTCTGCGGTCACTGTTCTTTCAGAAGGAAAATTGGCTGCGTTGACCAACCTCAAACCAGGTTCCTGTTTACTCTGTAGGTCAGTGGAAGAGAATCTGTGTCACACGTCTTGTTTTCCTTTTAAAACAAAGAATGTTAATAATGTAAGAGTGGTATTTTTCTAAACTAAAACCTCACTATTCAGATTTAATTGTAGTGGTGGCGCTCTGAGATAAATAAATGGATTTAGGGTTGTGATTTGGGCAGTGTCTCTGAAAATTCCGCTATCATTGCTATAGGTGGGTGTTTTCTACTTAGTTTGTTTTGAGACCTTGAGGAGTTTCCAGCCCTTCATCTACGGTCTGGATTTTGTATCGGCCCTAAACTTTACCAGCACACTCAGACGATGTCACATTCTCTGGGGCTAAAGACTGAAAACATGGGCTTGTGCAGGCCTCATCTATAAGTAATGGTAAATAAAACAAAGGAAAAAGGACTAAGATTATGTCTAATTCTCTGCTTAACACTAAGATGTTTTGCCTGTTTGGCAGCCACCTGCCCCATACCCTCCCTGCTCATCCTTCAAGGAGCACGGCCGGGTCACTTCCTCCCTCAAATGTCCATGTCCTCCTAAGCAGAGTGAGGGTTCTTCTATACTGTCAAGAGAGAATTGTTGTGTGTATAATTGAAATACATGATATGTATTTTTAAATAACCCATTTAAAAATATGATGTGAACCATGCATTTTGAGTTGCAGAATCTATTATGTTAAATAAGCCTTCCTGTAACTCTGAAGCACAGTTTGGAAGCATTTGCCTGAGCTGAGCTTACATATCAGCCGCCTTGTTCTGCTTGTGTATGATTCCATGGTCTGCGCTGGCATCCTTTACACCAGCCAGTGCTGCTGATGATACTTACAGTGTCTCTTAACATTCTGGCACTCTCCCAGTCAGGTAAATTGGTTTGATAGTCATTTTGAGATGAGAAAACCAATCTGCCAACATACTTTTTAAGAACGTCAATGAGCTTTGGAAAGTGTCTTCATGTTTATTGTTTTCACGTACATGGGATGCTGGAAAAATATGGTGCAGATTTAAATTTTAAAAATTTATTAGAAGTAAAAGACAGATTGTCATCATTCCTCCTCATAATGCCAATAATGCCAAAAATACTCCTTTGCTTTGAACGTACTTGTCTCACATTGTTCCCAATGTCTCTTATACTGTAATAAGTCTTTAAAATGTAAACATTCACCATAGTTATTCATCACCCCTTGTTATGTAGTCTCATTGGATGCTGAAAAGAAAAACACCTTGAATTCTTTTTAACTGAATTAAAAAATTGAGGTGAAGCTCTGCGTCTTAGGTTCCCTCACGCAAACCATGCAGTTACATCTTGAAGTCAAGAATTGTGGGTCCAGGATCCAGTCTGTTTCTCAAGGTACAAGATGACTCATCTTGCTCCTTAGAGATGTGTGTTGTGGCAGAGAGATACACAAGGTTAACTGAGATCACTTAGGGTTGGAAAACCATGCCTAACCACTTAGGCTGTAAGTCTGGGACAGGTTGTCTATTTTTTATGACTCAGTGTTCTTTTTTTTTTAATTGAGTTTATTGGTACATTTTAGGTATACGGTACAGTTACATTCATCATTGGGATCTTGTACCTCTACATGACAGGTCTTAGTTCTCAATTTTCCCCCTTGTCCCTGCCCTCCCTTTACCCCCTCCTCCCTGACTTAGTGTTCTTACCTGATTAGTTAGCTCAGCAATGCCTGTTCACAAGAATGATTTAAAGCCGAAATGGAATAATATTGTCAGGCACCAAATAGAATGACTGCCTCATAATAGGCACTTTATAAACATTTTTCACCAAAATGTGAGGCAAGTTTTTCTGTAGATAAGAAAAATTCTCTTCCCCTCTGAGAAATCCAGGGATGTTTTAACTAGCTAAGAGGGACTTGGCTGACGTATGGGCAGAAACTCTGTCAGTGAATGTGGCAATCCAAATTATAGGAAGTGTCCCAAAGTGAAAAGTATCTGAAATGTGTTCAGGATCATTTTCCCTCATGTTAATGATCAGCTGAATTGACCGCGAGTTTTGTTTTGTTTTTTTTTCACCTGCCTGCAGGTTCTGGTGTACCTCGTGTCATCAAAGTTGGGATTCTGCCCAGGTGAAGATCCTGTGCCACGTGTACTGGGAGCACTGGACGTGCCAGGGCCAGGTGCTTATGCGGATTTTTGCTCAGAGGTGCCCGAAGTGTTTTTGTTCCCAACTTGAGAATCCTAAGTTCTCTACCAATAGCATCATGAAGATTCTAGAAAACCTGGCACAGTATATTCTGCACAGATACTATGGACATGGCTTCAGGGAACGGCCAGTGATCTGGGCGGTGCCTCTGCAAGGGCCCCATGACACACGCAAATGTCAGTCCTGCCTTGGAGGCGTGTGTGTGCAGGGCTCACAAAGACGTATAATAGCAAAGCCATCCACTTCCTCTCCCCACTCCCTGGAGACTCAGAGTTCTTCATCTCAGATTGGTGATGTATTAGGTGAAGATAGACCCAGGCGTCCCTTGACCACTCTTGAGATCTTCTTTATTGTTGTTGCCATCTTGAGTGCCTTAATTTGTGGTCAAATTGTTAAACGCTGATTACCTTCTTCTCTTGTGTTAATTGCATGATAATCAATAAACTAGGCGCAATTTTAATATGACAGACTGTGACCAAGTCCATAATGGACCCAATAATAAATATGTGTTGAATCATTAAAATGAATCATTCAAGCATTTGTTCATTGGTATC